AATTTTTTTCTTCATTTATCTAATATTATTTTCAGTATTTTGTACTGTATTTTTTGTTATAATATTATAAGAATTTCGCTCTCACATCACGTGAGTGCGTAACTTTGATCACATGGTTTATAATAAGATTTATAAGTAACCATAATAATTAGTATACAGTACTATATATTCAATTACAGTGATATGTTTTGCTGTATATCAAAATATTAAAAAAAATATGATAATGTATTTTTATATCTTTCAATCTGCTTATATCCGTGAATTTTTATTAAATTTTTCTATCACATTATAAAAAATAAGTATTTAAGAGTCATATGATAAATATTTTATATATTCGTTGCTATTCTCAGTTTATTTTCGATATTCTCGATATCTTGATTATACAACATGTTCACAGATTCTTTTGTAGTGCTAGATTATTATTATTATTGATTACTGTACCGGAAAGTTTGATTCAAATCCATATTTGAATTATGTTTTGTAGACTTATACCACTGCGTTTGATCTTCTCTCGAATATTATTTGTACCGTTTTTCGTTACAAGTACAAGCACAAGCTAATCGCAATTTCTATTGACTATTGATTAAAAATAACAAAGATTTGAATTAAATTTAATTTTATAAAACATAATGACACAAAAAAAAAACGATTAATATACAGTATATACAGTAGATAATTGATAAATTACATTTACCAGGATATTAGATTGAGTAGATCGGTGCGACCCTTGTTTAGCCAAATGAAAGACGTCGCATTCATTAACGGGTCGTCGTTTTAAAGTTCGTGTTAAAAACTAGGGGTGGTGCATTCCATTCACCAAACATACATGCCATGTACATCGTTTGTCTACTTTCGGTACATGTGCCATCATTATTACGGTTCGCGTTCTCATTTTTAAATGATTGAAAACAATTTCAGGGGTCGAAACCTTTTTGATACTGTAGCCATTTGCACCAATCATTTCAATGGGGGTGATTTAATTTTTACCTGACGATCATTAATATGCGGTGGAAATTAATTTTTGTTTAAATACACCATTTTTGTATTTGCATTGTTTTCCCGCTTGCGAAGATACGTGAATATTGTGTTTATCAAACGAAATTTTTAACGTGACTCGACATTTAGTTTGAAGAACGCGAATGAGAACTTTGACCTCCCCAGCTTCTTTTGTGTAAACAAAGGTTCGGTGACACTTCTGTTTCATAAATACAAGATAAAAATATGATCTTTATGTTACTTTTCTAAACGAGATGTCGTGTGTATGTATTTTAAATATGTTGTATGTACGGATTGTTGATGAGTAGCATTTTTGAAAGATCATTATTCATTATAATGTTGGCCAAAAATGGAGGTCGAATTAAAAAAAAAAAATAGCAAAGATCTAAAAAGGAAATATAAAAATTCAGACAAACAAATTCAAGGAATGAATAGTTGAAAAATCCATACATCGTAAATTTGCCACGTAATTTCATTTCGCATGTGTGATCGAAGGGTAAAGAAATCTATATCGGGTAACATTAGTGATCGAGATTTATGCTTTATTCACTGTGGAATTCGGCACACAATTTCTATTGTCGTTAGAATCTGGGGTTGAATGATTTGGTCTTACGAATGCGAAATTAAAACCATTCTGAGCGCAGATAATTAAGTTTCGCGCATAATAATTATTCAAATTACAATCATTCAGCAAGAAAATGATCAAACGTGGTTTTCACCGACCCCATTCACCACTTACATTTTGAGTCTTAGTACGCGGCGCAAATCATACAATGAAACATTTTGCACCAATGAAACAAACTGCCACGTTAGCAAAAGCAAGCGGGTCGCACGTGAAGTTTACAAGGCCATTTGATTCCAAATATGGTGATGTGTACGTTGTCGATTAGTATTAGGCGACGTGAATGCAAATGATGATCAAAAAGAGCATATATCACATTGACCCACAACCACATTGTATTTCGTTCGATTAATGTCCGGGGACATTATGTGAATCTCAATAAACACCAATAAAATCAACCAACAATAATGCGACCTGGTTTTGTGAAAATTTAGAGTAGCATTTCCGCGATAATAACGTGATACTTGTCGGTAAATGGCAATGCTATTGATGTCCAGAATGCGTGCTTCCCAAATTGGCTTCCATTATTTCCTTGGTGCGTCTTTTCGTCTTGAACATCATCAAAATTGTGTCAGATAACGTGTGACAAATGATAAATCCTTTTTTAACGAATGCCAATAAGCCAAAATCGATTGACATGCAGTTTGCGAATTATCAAATGTTCTTTTATTATGCATTGTTATTAACGATGGCATCACGCATTTCCATTATCAATCTTTTAATTCAATAAGCACTCTATAACTGACACAAAAAAATTCTTCATTCTCTGCTAACTTACAAAAACGATCACAATTCTCCCATTCAATTATCATATGGACGAATCAATGGTGTTATGGATCTGGATTTGCTTATCAGTTAACCTTATCCTCCATTATTAGATGCCCTCACACGCGCGTCCTAAACGAGAAATTCCTTTATTGTGTTTAATTAAAACCTCCTCTCACTCGTCAACCCCTGTGCGCCACTGAGAAATGAATCGTTGGTATACTGTATATTACGCATTGCATGCACATAAAAACCACTCTACATTTTTATATAAAGCAAGTTTTCATTGACGTATTACGTAGCATTACATTCTTCGCTTGCTTTAAGGATCATATGTAAAAATTTTTTTCTTGGAAGTCTTACCTTGACCAATGATCTTTCGAAGAAAACCTCAATGGGATCACCGCATTTAGCTTTCAATGCGTTTCTCTTTCTTCGATTTTTTTTTCTTTTCTTTTCTTTTCTTTTTCCTTTCTTTCTTTTATAACACCACTTACGAGATAGTGCGGATGGTGCACCCACAATATCACGTCAGATGTGAAACAACAATAATGCATTGACGAGTGTATTCGAAAAAGAAAACTTTTATGAATGGAATTTTCTGAAGAAGAGAAGATGGGTGTCAGTGACCTGAACCATTCCTTTTCGGTTGAATAATAGTGTCTCGTCATGCGTCTTGCAGCGAACAAATTCTCCATTGATGCGCTCAAAAATTAATTATAGAATTGCAACGGTTTTCCACCCACAAAAAGTTTTTCCATTATAAACTATATCTCCATAAAAAATTTCTTACAGCCACTTCCGGTTATTTGAATATTTTTTCTTTTCCTTTTTAATGCGTGAAAATTATCTGATTCAATCTATTGGTCTCATCCGCGCGCGTCGTTGCCTGATTTCAATTTCAGATTCACGGCTAATTTGGGGCTCCGACATTCATATCTCCTTTGAAGTCGACAATTCCTTCAGATTCGTCATCTTTCATTTTCGCCAACACGCTTCAATCAAAAAAAAACAGAAGATTGTGATAATAATAGATAATAATAGATGATAATACAATACTCCCAAGACATAAATCAACCCAATAACTTCGGATTTACGATCTACCAACAGCATGAATCATTATTGATTCCGTTCTGGTTGAATTTTTGCATTGACAACACTTGTAACCTTCTCTCGCTCAATCAATCCGCGATCTATTTTATTGTGTCGTCGTGAGTTTCTCAAGTTTTTCTTGTGTAAACATGTCTCGTATAAATTCATCTCAAAAAGCACCGACCTTTTTCGCTACGGGCTTCGTATAAGGTCGTCAAACTAACGTTTTCGTTTCATCAAATTCTTCACACTCAACGTTTCCCAAAATACAAACGCATTCTAGTATATGTGCACGTGTTCCCTGTAGAAAATCTCCTGCGCTTTTCTTTTTCTTTCCTTTTTACATATAAATCGACAAATAGCGTTTCCGCCAATTAGTCTAACAATTGACTTCGTACATACAAATACCTTCACGTTTTTCGTTTCGAAGAAGAAAAAAAAACTCTCTCAACAATTTTTTCGTCTTTACGAAAGAAATAATCCCTTTTTATTTAACCTTGAAAAAAGGAGAAAACAGTAATCCAAAAGAAATACTTATTCCATTTCCTCTTACACGCCAAAAAAAAAATAATCATGCCTAAAGTAAAGAGTCGATTGACTTCTCGTGAGGAAAAATGCTTAATCGATATTGATCTTATATCGCCCGAACGTCACGACTTCGCCTTGATGTTGTTGTGCTCCCGAATACTCTATCGATGCCAACTCAAATGCTTTCAATACACACGCCTTAGCGTTAACGACGTATGTAACATTGTGCAATGTGAGGTGGATAAACTGCCAGAATTGCTCTCTGCAATTGGTGCTTCATTGGAAGCCAATGGAAGTATGAGTGGTGTAAATCACCATGAGAACTTGATGATGCTAGATTTTCGTAATCAACTGCTGAATTCGGTGTTCCCATTGGACGTGATAAAAAATTTGTTGGTCGCCGAACAATCTTCGAGAAGTCTACGTAGTCAACATGAAAAGAACGTCAGAAAATTGTATCGAAACCTGGTAAATATGACCGAGGATCTCAAGAAGTTCATGCACAGTTCTCCTCCAAACTCGCCCACAAACACGAACAATCCTTCGGCCCAATCCTCGACGATGGTTACGACTGCGAGGAAAAGATTCCAATTTCGTCCGATCTTCTTCGTAAACAGGTACCTCCTGAGCACCGAAGGAATTTCCGACAATGGCGAGGAATTCTTTATTAACCCACCAAAGCCCGTCCTATGGCTTCCCGTTCTCACCAACAAAGAACGCATCACCCAACGCACAACTTCGGCCTTCTCACTGAGAAAGAAGACTGAATTCACAAAGAACAACGGACCATCATTCAGACCTCAATTACTTCGAATGAACTTTGTGCAGACATTTGGTAGCAAACAAGATCAACAACAGCAAGCGCATCCACGTCGTCAAACAAACGTCACACAACACCGTGCTGACAACCGATCGCCGTTATCGGGCGAAGGGCGTCATGTTACATCGACTCGTTCACAACAGAATAGGTTGCCAACCACTACCACCGCATATGAGCATGAAGAATACCAGGATAAATCACAAGCAAGGACGTCGTCTTCTTCAGACTTTACGTCCGTCACCTCCATCGGCGCTATAATAAGCCACGACGGTGCTCCCAAAGTGAACAACGCTTGTCATTCACCAATAAGCACGGGTAACCATATGTACTCACCGATCTCCTCACCAACGTCCTATGCCTCATCGGCAACCACTCCCCCACAAATAGTTAAGCCCACACCGAAACGTCTCCCGTTTCCTATTAATACAGATCCCAATATAATCATCCACCCAAAGAATATGACACCATCACTCAATACACCAATCACCCCGCCTCTGTCGTCCGCCACCTCTCGGTCTCTGGTACCATTAACACCCTCTTTGGCCTCCCCGGGAACCTGTGATTGCAGTCCACTGAACTTCTCTCACGATTTCCGAAAATTATGTCCTTGCGTGATGAACCAGAGTAACAACAACAGTAAACAGCACAAGAGTCAATACGCGGCTCATCAGATTCAAACGCCGTTGGCCACCCCACCGTTATTTAAGATGAGCTTTGAGTTCGAAGGAAGGAGGAACTCTTTGATGGATCACGCGTCCTCAAGATGCAACATTTCGTCATCTCCCGTCTCATTATCTTCCTTCTCACTCTCATCTCCATCACATCCCTCGCCCACTTCAACGGTCAATGACTATTTCTACACCTCACCTGGCTCTATTACCAATCATGGTAATAACAGAGGACATTTCGCTGATGAGTTCTGATAAATTTAGGCGTTGAATCTGAGGCGGGATGATGAAATGAGTTGTTTTTATGTTCACATATCACATACATTTTCTTTCCAACAAGATATCTCTTTCCTTTTACGCGAATTCCATTCTTTCACAAAAAGTTTTTCTCTGAATATAAGTTATTCATTACCCTTCCCGCTTGGACTTTTTCCTTCCACACATAAGACTCCTTCCTTTTATGACTGCGTCTTATCGCACACACCTCACCATCTTCATGCATTGATCAGACTTCGACATCTGTATGAATATAGCAAATCTGAATATCGTGGTAGTTGCAAACCTATATCTCATATATTTCTCATGCTTTCTCCGATTTCTTCTTTTACATTATGATGCATAACAACCCGTGTTGTACCGTGTTTTTTTTTTTTCTTCTGACGTACTACAGCATATATGTTCGCTTTTCTTAATTTTTTCAATCTTAATTTTTCGATTTTTCTGTCTATATTCTTGGTCCATGCACTTACCACTGGTTCTGTAGTCAACATTACACATTTATAAATACCGTGTACTATCTCATCATTGTGATGGTGTAATGGACTAAAATATAGTACAATCGATTTTATCTTTTCTTTTTTTCCCACTTTTTTTCGTTTATGGTAAAATCTTTTTTTTTTTTTAAGTTGCAAAAATTCTTAGGAATTCCTAATACAGAAATATGCCACAAACAAAACTCAAAACATAAAACAAAAAAAAAAAAAAGAAAAGAAAAAAAAATCCCAAAAACAATTTTTTTTTTTTCATATTCGTTTCTTTAAGGTTTAAAATAACAAAAAAAATTTTTAAAAATTCAAAAAACCTTTATCTTAAAAAAAAATTAAATTCTTAGGATTCTATTTTAATTTGGTTTTCATATTTTTCTTGGATCAAAATTTTTTTGGTTTTTTTTTTTTTAGGTCGATTCTTCACATTTTTCCAATCGTTTTTTTTTTTAATCAATAGTTATATTCTTTTTGCCTTATTTTCATTTTTTTTTTCTATCCGTTATTTCTGTTCACTTTTTTCTTTAGTTCCCGTGGATCTAGATTTTTTTTTTCCATAAATGTTTAATTAGGCTACTCGTTCCATTCGTTCATCCTAAAAAAATAATCGACGATACTTAGACCATGATAAGTAGCGTTTCCCGTTCTTAATATCTTAAATTCTAGAGGAACAAAAATTATCTTCACACATGCACACAATACATTCCTCAGTTAATTGTTTTGTAATATATTATCCAAAAGGGAAATAATATATTTTTTTGTACAATACATATATCGTTCTTCGAGCAAAAGAATGAACGTTTCTTATCACAAAATCTTGATTAGTGTTTTTTGGTTTCTGCATGTTTGTTTGTCTTATGAAGTCAAACAAATGTGCGTGCCTTCGTCAGGACGTGATCACGGTTGTGCGATCAATGTTCAATTGGTTTATTTAATCGATACGCACGCGTTCAAATCACCTTTTAAGTGTGATACTAACGGAAAAAATTCCGCGCATTCGTAACACAAGCTCGATTATTGACAGAATGACTAGAAGAATGACTGAAAATAACACAAATATTTGAATTAACATCTGAAAGTTTTATCGTAAAAAAATTGCTGTTACCATTTATGTCAAAACAATTATTTGGTTTTGAATTAAACTCGCAAATCATTGGATCCTGTACGAATGATGCATTTATTATCAACCTGTATTTCTAAAACGGATTCCACAAGATAATAGAAATGACAAAAATATCGTGTATCTATTAAATTAAAATTATTAATTCACCTTATAAATGCATTAAAAAATGATCTCACACGAAAACATCAAAACGTTTTCTATTAGCTCTATGAAATATTATTGCATAAAAAACTTATTACTCTCATAATTATTAAGCGATACTGTGCTTATTAATGATCACCGGATTCCGGGTACCGTGTATTTAACTATAAATGCTCGAAATGATTTAGTTTAGCGTTAAATTTTTATATATAGAAATTTACATCGTATTGAAGTTTTTTTTCAAGTTTATATTATAAATTTAATGAAAATACAATCAAATAGAATTATTGACTTTAATTTAATATACGTATTGGATATTCTACCATTTGAAAGTTTATCTACGTAAATTGTTTATAGCGTAAGTAGCAATTTTTTATTAAGAAATATAACAAATAAAGAAATTGGTTTTTTTTAAAAAAAAAAAAATAATACTGTAAATAAAAAAAAAACTTAAATCGCGATCACGTGACTCACGCGAGACTTACAGTATATAATGAAAATTAAATAAAAAATTTTTTTTGATGTTAAAATGAGATATTGCTTGTTACCTTTATTAATATAATAAGGATTTAACTAGTTACATAATTAATATTAAGATATGAATTATATCACTATAGATATTAGCCTATCATCTATTAATAAGGCTCTTAATAATATTACTTCAATATTATTTTGATACTTAAATTATTATAAATTCATGTAAGTGGGTTATAACATATATATTATTTATTATAGATTGATATTATTTTGATATCAGTTCAATACCAATTTAGTACTTTTCAAAGCTTTATTTATTGAACAAACATATTATTAAAAAATTTTTTAAAACAAAGAAAAATTGAGAAGCTGTCTGTTATAAAAAATAAAAATAAAAAAAACATTTTAGATATAATTGTCATTCAGAAGAATTTTAAAAAAATATGAAATTGATAAATATAATTATAAAAATATTTTAATTATATATAGTTTTTGAATATATACATTTGTAAATCCAATTAGATAATAATATTGTATAAGCTATATATAATTGGTAATATTATTAAGAATAATGTTAAAGTTTGTTGTTAATATAAAATAGTTTCAAGTTTATATGAAATATAAAATAATTTATTTATTTTTTTTTTGTCTCTAATTAGACCGCAAGAGTTGTGTTTATTTATTCAATTTTGAAAAACAGTAATATAATATATATAATACTATATTAAAGCTAAACTAGTACATAAGATTGCAGAACACTCGTCAATAAATTTAGATTTGTATATGAACCTTGAATCCTTAATACTAAGACCACTGTGTTGCCTATATGATTTAGCTATTTATTAACTATTTTACTACAAGAATGTAGGTTTATTAAACTATTATTACGTGATATTAACTATTTTAGACTTTCTAAATCTAAACTCTTTAGATGTGATCATGGGGAATAATAAAAGTTACTCCTTTTCAAGACTAGGCATTGTCATATGCCAATCCAACCTCAAAGATCAGCATAGGACGAAGAACTGATAGCAGGGAGACACTTTATTTAGAATATAATCCTAATGTGGTGTGCTATAGTTCATAGAGAACATACTTGAGGTTGTAATAATCATAAGGCAAGAGGTGGAACAATTATAATTGTATAAAGACAAATATAATTGTGATGATTTGTAAAAACAGTTTATTATCAGAACATTATTACACTCCTAATTCTACAATTCC